GGGAGGAGGAGAGAAGAAGGGGAGAACGGAAGGGAAACAAAGTAAAGACGGAGAATATGCACAAAGAAGGGAACTAGCATGGAAGTTGGAAAATTTGAAAAAAAAATCGTAAAAAAACATGGTCGAAAGTTATGGAAATAAAATCTGAAAGAAAAAGAGATACCGAAGAGACAGATAAGAAGCGAGAAATGGAATAAACGACGATGATAAGAAAGTGAATAGATAAAAGGAAACGTTGATAATGTAGAGGGAAAAATATAAAAAAAAAAAGAAAAAAAATGGAATTATGACTTTAAGAAAGGAGAGATAAAGGAAAGAAGAAGAAAGAAAAAACTGAAAAGAAACGAATGAAAGGAAAAGCGGATAAAAGGGGAATCACAAGGAAAAAGAAAATAATAGAATGAAGACAAATTATATCTAAAAAAGAAAAATTTAATAATAGCAAAAAGTAAAAAAAGTGTTATAAATAAATCATTTGTTATTTATTATATTACTATTTTTTTTATCTTTTTTTTTTTTTTTTTTTTTTTTTTTGAAAAGCAGAGAAGAAAGAACAAATGCAGAAGCGGCTTAGATAGAAAGAAAATACGCCGACAAAAGACACTCGGATAAAAAGAACAAAAGAGAGATAGACAAACAGGGAGACAAAGGGTTGTTGTTATCCCTTTTCCTTCTCTCTCTCTCTCTACCCTGCGTTTTCCCTTTTCTTTTTCTTTCACTCTCTCTATTTTTCTCGTTTTTTCTTTCGTTCTCTCTTTCTTTTCCTCTCTCTCTCTCTCTCTCTCTCTCTCTCTCTTCTCTTTCTCTCTCTCTCTCTCTCTCTCTCTCTCTCTCTCTCTCTCTCTCTCTCTCTCTCTCTCTCTCCTCTCTCTCCTCTCTCTCTCTCTCTCTCTCTCTCTCTAGCTAGTATCTATAAGTCTATCTGTCCATCCATTTATCTGTCTATCTGTATTTCTATCTACTCCTTCCTCCGCCCCCCTTCTCTCTATCGATCTATATATCTATCTATCCATCTCTATCTACTTATCTCCTCTCTCTCTCTCTCTCTCTCTCTCGCTATCTATCTATCTTCTATCTGTCTATCTATCTGTCTGTGTATCTGTCTACCATATTCTTATCTCTCCTCTCCTCCTTCTCTCTCTCTCTCTCTCTCTCTCTCTCTCTCTCTCTCTCTCTCTCTCTCTCTCTCTCTCTCTCTCTCTCCTCTCTTCTCTCTCTCTCTCTCTCTCTCTCTCTCTCAATTCCCGTCGTCTCGTCTCTCTCTCTCTCTTCTCTCTCTCCCTACCTTCATTCCCTTCACTCTCTCAACAGCAAATATGATAAAAAAGAGAAGAAAATCCGTCTCATTTTTTGATCACAAAGAACAAAAGATGTGTTCGATATGGAGTTGGGAGAACATGGTCGACTAATGAATACAAGAAATTGTATTTATAGTTGAGGTGTAATTGCCACTAATTACTCGTAAGCAAGGAAAATTAATTTGGTGTTTGCTTCCAGAGAGATTAAGAGATTACACTGTTCGTTTTCTCGTCTTTTTGTGAGGGTTTTTTTGGGGGGTCACTTTTCTTGTAGTTTACCCTCGGAAAATGCACTCCGTTTTCTTTTGTCTTCTCTCGCGTTCTGATCCTCGGCTTTCCGTCTGCAATACTTTTTTACCTTTTTTTTTTTTTTTTATTCTTTTTGGTTTGTTTTTTGACGACCTTTCCCTTGCTTGCTGGGTCGTGTTTTCTTCAAAATAATTTTCCTGTTTACGTTTTTGCTTTCTTTCTCTTCTTGTATTTCTTCCGCTTTTTTTTTTAACTTCTCTCCAGATTTTACTTACATGTGTGAAACATACTTACACACACACACACACACACACACACACACACACATACACACACATACACACACACTATACACACACACACACACACACATACAACCACACATACACACACACACATACACACACACACATACACACACACACACACACACATTACACATACACACACACACATACACCACACACACACACACATCACACACATACACACACACACATACACACACACACACACACACACACACACACATACACACACATAACACACACACATAGACACCACACACACACACAACACACACACAACATACACACACACACACATATAGAATCAATTAGACATAGTTACATATATAAGACATAATCACAAAATTATTTACATCTAGCGAAATTATTCTACCTAGATCCACACACCACTGACCTCGCGCGCCGTCATAGAGCTCCCCGTCTAGAGCTCGAACGCAGTAAAGACATGTCGGAAAGCTCATCAGCTCCCTCCCCCCCCCTCCCCCCCTCAACCCACCCACAAAGCCCCCCCCCACCCTCCCCTCCCCCCCGCCCATCCCACAGAGCTCAAACCCCCCATCCCCTCCCCACCCACTGCCCCTCCCCCACCTTTCCCAACCCACAAACGCCCCCCCCCCCCCCCTTCCCTCCCCCCTCCCTCACCCACAGCCCCCCCCACCCCCCCCCCCAACCCACCCACAAATCCCCCCCCTTCCCTCCCCCTCCCTCCCCTCCCCACCCACCCCCCCTTGCCCCCCCCCTACCCCCTAGGCCTTCGCACATGGCCGTCACGTCTGCAGCGAAGGTGATTAATCACATGAACTCACATTATAGCGTAAATTTCTGCTGCTCCTTGGTTATTAATCATACCAGGAGGTCGGCCCCCACGAACCCCCTC